GACTTTAGAGTCTTTCATGAATTTCCTATAAAACCTAGGCGACCTTAATGCACTGTTTCCAAGAACGGCATAAATTTCTTTATAACAAGCTTTTCCCATTAACAGAAAAAGTGTATATGCTGTTGTGTATCAGAAGAAAGGTGCGACCCAAAACTAGGGATTATAAAGTCTTTCTGAAACGGTATAAAATTTTTTGATAAATTTAAGGAAAAAGTTTGTATTTTATGTATATATAGATATCGCTTAATCTCTTTCTTAAACCTCGGCTTAATACTGAAGCCTCTAACATTTCTGCCAACTGGAAGTTTGATTGAAGCTCTACAGCGGCGTTACGAACGTTTCGACCAATCGTCGCCTTCGCCTAGAGCCTAGAGCGGCGTAGAACTTGTGATCATTTCAATGTTGTTATTATCGCACTACCAGCTTATGTCTGTCCAATCAAATATTCAAGCGCTGGCCACGATCTACAAGCGAGTACCGCATGACGAAAGGCAAACACCTTCGGTACAAGCAGGCAATCCGATGATGCCACCGCGTCCCTAGAGTCAGTAACGCCCCAACGGGGTGAAGCAAAATTATTCGTAATTGCAAAATACTTATTTCTGTTATTCATAGGCGGATTGCATTGTATTCCTGCTTGCTGAAATGTGATACTGGAAATCAGGCTTGTCAATGTCTGCTGCCTATCTCCTTGAAAGAAGAATGAGAAAGGATTAAAACTAAACTGTGACTTCGTTCTAACAGGTCCTCTCTTTGCGCAATGTACTACATACATTTCGGAACACTGGAAGAATCGAACGATGCTGGAAGCTCCAAAAATTATCTATTTCAAAATGATAACCTTGATCAAATGGCAGTCACGACCAGTGGTAATGCTCCGATTTCTGAATATGCGCACGAGTTCCGAGTAAGCTCTTCACTCTCTTTGCCCAAAACATCAAGGGTCTGTATTGCCCAAAACATCAAGGGTCTGTATTTCCTAGAGCTGTTGTTGGACTACTCGGATTCAGAGATCAGCTAAGATTAATGATCACATTCAATGAGAGCAAAAAATATCCAAATAATGCACAAGAGGCAAGATAGACAGGTGCTTTCTTTGCCTTTTCTAAACTCTTTCTATGACTCAGTCAAAATCTGGCTGTATTACACTAACTTAGTTTATTGACAGTGGCTGGAATTTATAGAAGTACGCATTTCAACTTTGACGTGAACTGTGTGTCTCTATGAGCAATAAAGGTGATGAATTCATAGTTATTCTACGGGCTTCAGATCGCGAATTTACGGAACTTCCCTTATTGCGATTTTTCAAC